GGATCGAACCCGGGTCGGCCACGTGCAAGGCAAATGCCCTACCAACTGTGCTATTGCTCCAGCCCCTATTCCGTATTTCAAACATGGCACCAAATATGACCATTTCCAGGTTGCTGGACAGGTTTCATAAGTATATTTTTGTTGAAAATATAAACAAACAATAATAAAATCCCCCCCCCCCCGCCTCCCTTCTCACAAATATGGAGCTGGAGAGATAGTACAGTGGTTAGCACTCTTGCCCTGTACGCGGCTGACCTAGATTTGATCCCTGGAAACCCTCCCCCCCCCCCCCCCCACACACACACATGTCCCCTCAGCCCTCCAGGAGTGATCCTTGTACACAGAGCCAGGAGTAAGCCCTGAGCACAGCTAGGTGTGTCCCCCAAATCAAAACAAACAAAGCAGCAACTTTAAAACCACCTAATCTTAGGGCCAGAGCAATAGAACAGTGGTGGGGTACTCGCCCTGCCTGTGTCTGACCTGGGTTTGATTCCCTGGGCCCCATATGATTGCCCTGAACCTCACCAGGAGTGATCCCTGCACAGAGGTAGGAGTCGTCCCTGAGCACAGCCCCGAGGAGGACCCAAAAAAGAAAGAAAGAAAGAAAGAAAGAAAGAAAGAAAGAAAGAAAGAAAGAAAGAAAGACTAATCAGTGGCTGAATAAATAGCAGTACTCCTACATAAAAAAAGAAAGAAACAAACAAAATTTAAACACTAAATGGCCAGCAGTGTTGACAGGGATCCCTTTCTGCACTCTCCATGCTGTAGAATTGAAGCTCTGGAGTCAGTTTACCCAGGGCTCAAATCCTGAGACTGCCACTCAACTCTGTGTAAGGTTCTAGAAAGGTCCAGGCAGTGCATTGCAAATCGGCAAATGGGTTGTGGTGAAGAGAGACTCTATCATCCAGAAATGTCCTGTAACGTGCCTGTTCAACTCAAGCTTCCAAGGTGCATGAATTCCCTTTCTTCATTTTTCCTACAAATACACATTTCAGGCTGCCTGATGTTCCCATGGAAATTACAATGTAACTGTGCCTCTTCTGCAGAAGCAGCCGTAGAAGCAGGACAACTTTGGATGGAGGTTGTGTAAAGCTCACCGATAAGCAGCGTTTATCCTTGCTCTTGGTAGTTTTCCAGGAACTGATTTGGAAATTCTCTACTTTTCTGAAAATAAATCAGAACAGAACAAAGCAAAAATTCTTTTTTGCTTTGGAGTCATAGGAGGTGGTGCTCAGGGGTTATTTCCAGCTCAGTTTTGGGGGTTCACTCCTGACAGTACTCAGGGACGCATGTGGTGCCAGGAATTGAATCTGGGTCTCCTGAATAAAAGTTTGTGCTCCAGTCCATTGAGTCATCTCTCTAACCCCTTTTCTACATTTTTTTTGGTGGGGAGGGGGTGTTAGACCATTCCCAGCAATGATCAGGGGTTACTCCTGACTCTGCACTCAGGAATTACTCCTGGCAGTGCTCGAGGGGGCCTTATATGGTGGCAGGGATGGAACCCAGGTCAGCATGTGCCAGGCAAACGCCATATTCATTATATCTCTCCAACCCCTTCCAGATAATTTTAAGTCTCCTAGCCCCCACCTCCCCTCTTTTCCCTTTGTTGTGATGAGAGGGGTGGGGGGGCTATGCACACTGGGGTGGGTAATTTGGTTCCCTATCTATAAACCCTCACATTTTTTTATTTTCTGGGTTTTGGGACCACACCTGAAATTGCTCAGGACTTACTCCTGGCAGTGCTTGGGGAACCATATGGGATGCTGGGAACTGAGCCCAGGTCAACTGCGTGCAAGGCAAGCACCCTCCCCACTGTGCTATCGCTCTGGCTCCATCTCATACTTTTTTTCCTTAAATCTTTTTGCATGTTTAGTTTTGGGTTTTAAGGCATACCTGGCAGTGTCCTGCGGCTGCTCTGTGCTTGGGCTTCTTTCCCCGCTGTGCTCTGGGGACCGTATCATGTGAGAGATTGAATGCAGGCCTCCTGCATGTAAAGGATGTGCTCTGCCCATTGAACCATCTCTCTGCCCCACCCCCCCAACTGCTCATTTAAGGAAAAAAAAAACTTTATTTTTGGATAATTGACGCCAGTTTATTGCAGAGAAGCAAAATATATTAGACAAAAAGAAAAAACATTTACCTGTGTTCACTCCAGGTGTAAGTAAATATACTCATGCCCTTTCATACCTCTATCTTCTGCATCTCTCTCTCTCTCTCTCAAGGCGCTTACTAGTGTCTGGATTCATCGGGCTACGTGCGTCTCGCTATCATTCTAAATCTGTCCTTGCATGGACACGCATGTCCCTATCTTTCTTCAGCCCCCCTCTCCACATCTCCACGCCTGGTTCTGCTTGCGTCAGTGTATTTGTGTGCTCTTGACTTGTCCCTTCTCTATATTAAGCTGTACACAGTCCCACGTGGCATACTTCCTGAGCCAAGACATTTACTAATGACTAGAGTCAAATTTATCCCTTACTTTCCAGCTTTCTGGTCCTTTCTGGAGCATCAAAACATCATTATCATTTTGCCTAACCATGAAAACCACTCCATGGCTCCAGGAAACAGGACGCGGGTATCCCCTAGCAAATACAAGAAGTATTAACTAGCAAACAGAAGACTCATACAACCGCTGAGATGTCTATTTCTTTTCTTCTGCCACATTGGCTCGAGTGCAACTAGCAATAAAAACAACCACCAAGTATAAGCTGCCATGGGGTGCTTTGCCCGGAGTGAACAAAACTCCTTTCATGCAAACGCTGAGGTTGGGTCTTGGCACACTCAGTAATGAAATACTGTTTTCCCCTTTACACCTGGATAAGTGGAACCATTCTGGCATAAGAGAGCCACCTGTCACCGGCCACAGCTCTTAGCGCTCCCGGAAACAGGGGGAGAGAGATAACAAAGTAGGTGAGCTGGGCTGTGGGTTTTTTTTTTTTTTTGGTGGTGGGGTTGGGATAGTATCACCTGGGTGTTACTCCCAGCTTCTATACTGAGGGGTGATTCGGGGGTGGTGGTGGTTTGAGTCCTTCCAGTCGTGCTTCGGGAACCACACAGTGAAGGGGGTCAAACTAAGGTTGACTGCATGCCAGGCAAGTGCCTTAACCTCTGTACTATCTATCCGTTCTGTTTTGTTTCGAACCAGTGAGAGGCCCTGGTGATAAGGAAACTTATTTGTTTGTTTGAGGGCCACACCTAGCGATGCTCAGGGGTTACCCCTGGCTCTGCAGTCAGGAATCACTCCTGGAGATGCTTGGGGAAACCACATGGGATGCCAAAGATGGAACCCAGGTTGGCCATGCGCAAGACGAGCACCTGACCTGCTGGACTATTGCTCCACCCCGCAGAGAGGAGAATCTTTTCAGGATTGTCCTCCTGCCTGGCTTGGTCTCTCTCCTAATTGTTGGTTTCTGTGTGGCAAATGCTCCCAGAACCTGGTGGCAACGAGCAATGATGGCTGTGTCAGGCGGCTGTATGGGTTGATTGGGCTCAGCCGGTCCGTTCTCACTTGGGCTCGCTCCTGGGAAGACAGTCAGATGCCGGCGAGGGCTGCGGTCATCTGGAGGGGTCAGCTGGGGCCACAGTCAAGACGGCTTGTGTACGTGACCGCCGCTTGCTGCCGACTGTCCCCTGGGAAATCAGCCGGAAGGTCTGCACAGGACCCTGGGCTTTCCAGGGGCTTGGGCTTCCTTAGAGCAGTGTCTGGGGAGGGAGGGAGAGAGGGAGGCCAGAATAAATGCCCTGGGACAGTTGCTTGATAGCTGCAAAAAACTTACTGAGTCACAGCAACTCCCAAATACCACTGCCTCTCTAAGTCATTAGGGCCAGTCCTGGTTTAAAGGAAGGGGACTTAGGGGCGGAGAGAGAGTACAGCTGGTGAGGAACTTGCCTGGTCCACCCCAGCGCAAATCCCGTTCAATTGTTTTCTTTCTCTTCTTTACTTTTTTAATTAGAGTCGGGGGGCAGAGAGATAGTCCAGTGGCCGACCAGGTTCAGTCCCCAGTATCCCAAGGAAGGGGACTTAGGGGCGGAGAGAGAGTACAGCTGGTGAGGAACTTGCACACAGCCCACCCCAGCGCAAATCCCTCCCATTGAAGAGCTGGAAAGATAGTACAGTGGGTCGGGCACTAGTCACTGTACTATCTTAATCCAGAGGTTAAAGCACTAGCCCTTGCATGAGGCTGATCTGGGTTTGATCCTCAGCATCCCATAGGGTACCCTAAATTAAAAAAATTACCCAGGAGTAATTTTTGAGTGCAGAGTCAGAAATAACACCCGAGCATCTCCAGGTATGGACTTTAAAAAAAAAATCCCTCACATCTTGCTCCCAAACACGCCTGGTGTGGCCAAAAATTCAAAAATTAAAAGCGAGGCTGGAGCGATAGCACAGCGGGTAGGGCATTTGCCTTGCACACAGCCGACCCGGGTTCGATTCCCAGCATCCCATGTGATCCCCTGAGCACCGCCAGGGGTAATTCCTGAGTGCAGAGCCAGGAGGAACCCCTGTGCATCACCGGGTGTGACCAAAAAGCAAAAAAAAAAAAAAAAAATTAAAAGCAGTATAAAAGTACATACATAAACTCTGAGGAGTTGATTTGGGGGAGGAAGTGGGCATACCCAACGATGCTCATGACTGACTCCTGGTTCTGCACTCAGGGGTCACTCCTGGCAGGGGTGGGGGTTCCATATGAAATATTGATGGTGGAAGTCAGGTCGGGCACCAATATAAATAGAAGTTGTGCATCAATTTCCCAGGGCTCAGGGCCTGAGAGACAGTACAGTGGGTAAGGTGCTTGTCTTTGCATGTGGCTGACCGGGTTCAATTGTTCTTTCTCTTCTTTACTTTTTTAATTAGAGTCGGGGGGCAGAGAGATAGTCCAGTGGTCGACCAGGTTCAGTCCTCAGTATCCCATATGGTCTCCAAGTCCTGCCAAGTGTAATTTCTGAGTGCAAAACCCCTGGGAAACACAGGATATGACCCGAAAAACAAAAATGAATAAATAGTAAATTAGAGTCAGGAAATCAAGACTGCCTAACTTACGGCAGCTCTGACAATGTACCTCCAGGCCTGGCCTTGGTCTCTAAGAGGCCTCTCCATGCCTTCCTGGGAGTCAGGCCCGTGAATATTGTTTTCTTAGTGTCACATTTCAGAGCAATAGTACAGCAGGTAGGGCATTGCCTTGCATGCAGGTGACCCTGGCTCGATCCTCAGCAACCCATATATGGTCCCCCAAACACTACCAGGAGTGATCGCTGAGTGCAGAGCATCGATCTCTGAGTGTGGCCCAAAACGAAAGAACAGCAAGAATAAAGTAAAAGCCAGAAAAATCAATCAAAAGGCTGGAGTGCATGCTTTGTATGCTGGGTCCTGGATTCCATCCGCAGCACCACATGGTTCTCTGCAATGCTGGGAGACACCCTCTATTTCTCTTTCCCAAAATCCCTCAAAACCCCTAATGCAGCAACAGATTGAAGGTAGCACCCTAGTACTGCCTGGTGTGGTAGAACAACCAAAAATGGGAAAAGAAGAAGAACAAGGACCAGGGAAGCAGCTCAGTGGCTTAGAATGTCCAGCTTGCAAGCTGCGGTCAGGAGTTCAGTCTCTCTGGGACTAGACCACAGTACAGTGGGTCAGACGCTTGCCTCGCATACGGCTGATATGAGTTCAATCCCAGGCATCCCATATGGTCCTCCAACTCCTGCCAGGAGTGATCTCTAAATACAGAGCCAGGAGTAAGGAACAGCCAGTGTGCAACCCCTCAACCCTCACAAAACAGAACAAAACAGAATCTCAAACAATAACGAGTTCAGTCTCACATTCCAAGCACTATCCTGGTGATCCGTCTATGACCCCTGGTGCCACTATAAACTATTTCTTTTGTTTGTTTTTTGTTCGGCGGCCATCCCTGGGAAAGCTCAGGAGTAACTTCTACTTTGAACTCAAGAAATACTGCCAGTAGTGCTTGGAGGGCCCTTTGGGATGCCGAGGATCGAACCTAGGTTGGTAATGTGCAAGGCAAATGCCCTACCCGCTGTACCATCGCTCCAGCCCCTGCAAACTATATGGGATGCTAGGGATTGAATCTGGTGAGCTGCGTGCAAGGCATCACCCTGCCCGCTGTGCCATCACTCTAGCCCACACTATCTCTTCTGGAGATGTTTCTTTTTGTCTTCAGTTCTGGAGCATCCTGTGAAGGTGAAACGGGGAGCAGAGAAAAGAGTGTTTCTTGAAAAACAGAAAGTCAGGGGGGCTGGAGCAATAGCACAGCAGGTAGGGCGTTTGCCTTGCATGCAGCCAATCCGGGTTTGATTCCCAGCATCCCATATGGTCTCCTGAGCACCGCCAGGAGTAGTTCTTGAGTGCAGAGCCGGGAGTAACCTCTGTGCATCGCCAGGTGTGACCCAAAAAGAAAAAATAAATAAAAAAAAAACAGAAAGTCAGGAAACTGCAAACTCTGCAGCCAACATATTTGAGCACCACCAAAAAGGGGTGGGACCCACCCCCAACAAACACTGCGACTAAAAGAGAGATGTGTGAACAGCATGGGGGTAGGGTGCAAGAACAGCGGTGGGGGTGGCAGCAGCTGACTAAGGGAGGACACAGCTCGGTGCTCACACAGCCACGGAGTCACGTGGGCCTGCATCACAACGTACTGTGGGATCCCCTGCAAGCACCACAGCCGGGGATCCAAGCAACCCTGTCATCACAACAGCACAATCAACAACAGCGGGAAGAAGTCAGTGTGGAGACCGAGACCAAGGGGCGCTGAGGTGGGTGATGCTGAGTGTGACCCAGAACATTTGAGGAGTAAATCAGGAATCGCAGGTGTATTACTGGAGGGAGATTTGGAGGTTTTTTTTTGGGGGGGGGAGTCATATCAGTGTTTTTTTTGGGGGGTGTCGATCACGATCACGATCATCCTGTTGTTTGTTGATTGCCTTGAGCAGCCACCAGTAACGTCTCCTTCACCCTAGCTCTGAGATTTTATTTATTTATTTATTTATTTTAGCTCTGAGATTTTAAAAAGTGCCATATTCACGGCTCTTTCAGGGTTAGGAGAATGAGACCCATCATTGTTACTGGTACTTGGCATATTGGGTACGCCACGGGGAGTTTGCCAGACTCTGCCGTGTGGGCAGGTTACATCCAGTAGCCTGCCAGGTTTTTTTTTTTTGTGTGTGTGTGGGGGGGAGGGTCATATCAGGCTATTCCTGGCTCTGTGCTCAGGAATGACCCTGGACAGTGCTCAGGGGACCCTTTGTGGTATCAGGGATCCGAAGTGAGATGGCCTCATGCAAAGCAAACACCTAAATTTTCTGTACTATCTCTCTAGCCTGTTTGGGTTTTGACTTGAGTTTTGTTTCTCTGGAGCCATGCTCAGGGATGGAGGAAAAAGACACCCCCGATGATTCTCAACCAACCAGACTGGCAGTTCAATGAGAGGACCTGAGGATGAGGTGCTGGTCCTGCAGTACCAGGGGTCACCAGGCCCACCCAGGTGGTGTTGGGAGCCTCGAGAGCCACATTCTGCCTTCTTGGGGCCTACGTGATGCCAGGTCAGCAGCAAGCAGCCCCTGAACAATCTTTCTGACCTCCTGACTTTTTGTTTTTCAAGAAACACTCTTTGCTCTGCTCCCTGTCTTAACCTTCACAGGATGCTCCAGAACTGGAAACCAAAGAAGCATCTCCAGAAGACATAGTGTGGGCTGGAGTGATGGCATAGGGTAGGACGATGCCTTGCACACAACTCCCCAGGTTCAATCCCTAGCATCCCATCTGGTCCCCTATCACAGAGCCAGGAGTAACCCCTGAGCACTGCTGGGTATGCCACCCACCCACTCACCCCCCCAAAAAAAACTTCATAAAACATAGTATAAGGGTTAAGGTATTTGCTCTGCATACAGCTGAGCTCGTTCAATCCCTGGCACCCCATCTGCTTCCCTGAACTCCACCCGGAGTGACCCCTGAGCACAGAGCCAGGAGTGAGCACCGCCGTGTGTGGCCGAAGAAAAAGAAAGGAAAAGCCGCATTTCCCGTACTCTGTTGGAGCGGGAGGTGGCATTCTCCTCCGGGAAGAGCGTCCCCACCCGGGCTGGCCAGCACAGTGGCCCCACGCCAGGCCCTGAGACTTGGCCGGCCAGTGGCAGCCCTGTCCAGGAGGAGGCCTGCCAGCATGGAAATGATGCGTCACTGTGGTGCGCTGGCCCTGGCCGCGGTGACTGTGACGGGGCAGATTCTAAGATGTCCTGTCCGGTGCCTACGGGGGTGGGGGGGATTGTCAGGGTGGGAAGGGGGGCAGGCACAGAGCTGGAGATGCCTGAGCTGAAAGTTCAAGCTGGGAAACTTGGTGGGCAGGGGTTTCCTTCCCACTACATGGCAGGCTCCGCTTCTCCGGGTCCCACAGAAAGAGGGGTTTGGAGGGTAGCGACCCTGTCCCAGTCAGATCTCCTGTTCAAACTCAGGGATGTGACCTTCCAGGGGAGCTGTACCCACAGCTGGTGCGTCACTGCCTGCATTAGGCCCGAGCCCAGTCATTTACCAGAACTCTTCCTGTTGGGTCACTTATTCCAAAGCATCCCCCAGGTGGCCAGGGCACTGGAGAGGGGCCTTTGTGGTGTCCTCCTGGCCTCCTCCAGGTAAGAGTCACTGCCAGATCTCTGAAAGGACAGCAGTGAGGGGCTGGAGTGATAGCACAGCGGATAGGGCGTTTGCCTTGCACTCAGCTAACCTGGGTTCGATTCCCAGTATCCCATATGGTCCCCCGAGCACCACTGGGGGTAGTTCCTGAGTACAAAGCCAGGATTAACCCCTGTGCATTGCCAGGTGTGATCCCCCTCCCCCCCCAGAAAAAACAACTTGAAAAGACAGCAGTGCCACTTAGCTGCCTTTCATGACAGGGCCCTTGTGGGTCTTCACCCCGGCATCTGCTCTGGTCCCCCTGGACCTCCTTAAACCGAGTCAAGAGTAGCCCTTGAGCACCACCTGCTGTGGATCCCAAATCAAAATAAGTAAGTAGATAATAAACTGGCCTGGAGAAATAGTACGGAAATTAAGGTTCCACCCTAGTAATGGCTCACATATGGCACCTGCCGTGACACTGTGGCCCAAAACAGATAGGACCAGTGCATATGCCCCCCCCCCAAGTCCAGCCATGGGTAATAGCTCAGGGCAGAACCAGGAGTAAACCCTGAGCACCACTGGTGTGTGGGCAACAAAACACAAACAAAATGAAAAAGCAACCAGACTCCTGGTGAAGACCACAAACTGTTAAGGGAAGTGAGTCCCAGGACCGAAGAATCAGCTTTTTTTTTTCTTTTTGGGTCACACCCGGAGATGCACAGGGGTCACTCCTGGCTCTGCACTCAGGAATTACTCCTGGCGGTGCTTGGGGGACCATATGCGATGCTGGGAATCGAACCCGGCTCGGCCGCGCACAAGGCAAACGCCCTACCCACTGTGCTCTCTGTCCAGCCCCAGAAGCAGCTTCTTGTGCCACCCCCGAGAGCACCAGTGGCTTTGCTCTTTCTGACACCCGCTCACTTCTCAGCCCAAATCCGAGCCGGTGGTGCTCCCTGGCCAGCCACACAGGTCGTGGCATTCCAGGTTGACTCTAGCCTGCTGGGAAGTTGCTCCTTCTGAGGCACTGCCTTCTCAGCTTAGAGTTCGTGAGACCTTGTATTTATTTACAAAACAGCACTCTTGAGACCAAGGCCATAGTACAGCGGGGAGGGCGTTTGCCTTGCACGCGTCCAACCCGGGTTTGATCCCCGGCATTCCATAGGGTCCCCTAAGCACTGCCAGGAGGGATTCCTGAGTGCAGAGACACTCATTCCTGAGTGCAGTAGCCCCTAATCACTGCCAGGTATGACCCAAAAAGCCAAAGCCAAAAATGAAATAGCAGGCTCTCCTGTCTAAATGTTCACACCCTCGGAGTTGAACCAACTGTGTCCCTCTTGCATCCCTCCGTTGATGAGGCGGCAGGGGCATGGCTGCAGCGCTGACAGGGTGGCGCATGCGTGGTTTCAGTGCTCATCAGGGGCTGCATACTTTGGTCCTGCCACATCCACCTGCATGTAGGATATGGGATCTG